GATGAATGTAAAGCTCATGTTCTCCCATGTAAACTATCACTCAATTCACAAAAAATTTTTAAAAGAAAAGTAAATTGTTTGAAATTGCATAGTGCCTGGTCCCCAGTAGAAGAGAGAGTAAGAGAGTCCTTCCACATGTCCATTGTTTTGGGAGCAGGCCACACCCCCAAGGAAGCATCCCTTCAATTGATTGTCCACTCATCATAGAGTTAACTATGCCTGTACAAGGTTTCATCGCCATGGGAATAAGTGCATTCAACTGCTAACCCTTTGGAAATCCTAGCCTAGTAAAGTTGACACAAAACCCTAATCATTATACATCATCTAAATCAGGTTGGTGTTCATGGTCCGCAGAGTGAAGTGGGCGTCAATGTGGTGTGAAGATCAAGGAGATGGGCTATGGACCAGCCCAGGGTTTGAATTTCTGCTCCACCAGCTCCTGGCAAACAATATGCTTGCTCTCACCGAATTATAATGTTATCATCTATAAAATGGGGTTTATAGTACATATCTAGACAGGTGCTGTTATGAGCTTTAAACTAAATAATTTCTAGAAAGTTGTTGAAACAATGGAATATTCAGTAGAGGTTGGTGATGCTCTACTTCCCAAGGGCAAGGCTGTAAATCTTTATGGGAGCAAAAAACCTCATCATTTTCCTGCAGAGCAGGATTTGAACGCTGACCTTGTGGTTAGCAGTCTAACAAATAACCCACAATGATAGCAGGGCTCCTTACTTTCTCCTTGTTGTTGTTGTTAAGTGCTGTCAAGTTGGTTTTGACTCATAGCCACTGCGTATAGGGTTTCCGAGGAGCAGCTGGTGAGTTTGAACCACCAAACTTGCGATTGAGTGCTTATCCTACAGCACCACAAACTCAAGGAGTTCTAAATGTAAATTTAGAACAATCTGGGAGAAAGCAAAGTTGGTCTCTTTAACCTCAACTTTAAAAGTTGGGTAGATATCAGCTTATTTCCCCAGTACCTAATAACAACCACGTCATTTTACTGAACATTGAAGTTTACAACTCATTTTCACATGTATCCTATTTCATTTAATTCTACACTGTTCTTATGAGATAGGCAGAACAAGTATAATTATTTTCTTTTTATAGAAACAGACTGAAGTTCAGAGGGGTGAACATGACTTTCCAAAAAATGACAGTTTCAAGATCAGACCCAAAATTCTTTCAGTTAACCCAGTGTCTCTCCCAAATCCTTGGTTCCCTTGTACCTGCCAGTCTGTTTGCCTTCCATGCATTCTTTAGTTCATTAGCTCCTGTTCATCTTCCAGCTTCCAACTTTGATGTTACTTTCTAGTCTATACCTTGTCCCACAGCCCCATGGGCTGGATTTTCCCTCTACTTTTGTACTGTACTTTTTTTGGATTGGAAGCTGGTATTATTACAGGTATCCTCAGGCCTGACTTTCCTTTAGAATTTCAGAGAGTTGTTTTTTTGTTTTTTAAGTATTATATTTAGGGTACCATTCAAGACCTCCTTCATCGATATCTATCTTTTATACTAGAATGTAAACTGGATAAGGACAATGATTTTTTTCATTTAAATCTGATAAGAACAATGATTTTTTTTCATTTAAATCTGATAAGAACAATGATTTTTTTCATTTAAATCTGATAAGGACAATGATTTTTTTTATTTAATTTCATTATTCAGTCCTCTACACTGAACAATAGCTGACAATATTACTATATAATGTATTATTGCTGCTAGCATTTACTAATTACTTATTTATTATATGTTGTAGTTATTAAGTGCTGTTGAGTTGGTTCTGACCTATAGCCACCCTATATAGAGTTTTTGAGGAGCAGTTGGTGAACTTGAACCACTTGCAGTTCAAATAGCTTTGCAATCTGACACATTAACCCACAGCATCACACGAGGACTCCATTACTATATGTTAGACACTATGAAAAATAATTTACATAAATGTGTTTCAGTTAATTATGCCAGTCACTTATAAGGAAGGGACTATTGGTCTCATATATAAAAAGAAGAGGGGACTGAAGCTTAGAGAGGGGCTTAGAAAACATTTCATAAATGCACCAATTATTGTTTTCAGCTAGAGCAGTGAATTTTATGTTTCCTAACTGCTTCCATTCCAAAAATGCAATCCCCTAGAAGGTAGAGAAGGTAATTAAGGGCTTGGCTCTTAGGTTCATATTAGACATTGTCTCTAGAAAGTACAGTGATAAAATCAAGCCTTGACTTAGAAGTCAGCCAGCATGGTTACAAGATATTATTTGTAAGACCCACAAATAACATGCCTTCATTTTTGAACCACCAGAAAATTGCCTGAGTTCCTACTGGATAGTGTCATATTGTTCTCAATTAAAATGCTTTTAGCTGCAAGTAACAGAATCAACAGTAAGAATTTTTGTTCTCATAATCCTAAAGTTGGCTTGGTGGTTTATCAGCATTACCAAGCACTCAAATGCTTCTCAACTTTCTACTCTGTCATCTTCAAATTGTTGTCAGTATTTCTCTACACTCCCCTGGGATGGTCGCAGCAGCTCCAAGCATCACTTCACCTCACGTGACATCAGAAATCAGAAATGGAAAGACAGACTGTCTCATGCCTCTATCTCATGACTCTTTCCTTTCATGAAGGAGAACCACCTTCTCCAGAACCTGCTAGCAGACTTCCTCTTTTTCTAGAAGTGGGTCACAGGATCACCACTAGCTGAAAATACATCTGAGAAAGCCAGTAACAGGCATGGCATTCTCGGCTCTTACTTAGGAGGTGGGCTTTTCCAAAAAGAGAAGGGGATAAAGAAATGGTTGATGTCTTGACAACCAGTAGTGCCTATATATTTTCAATTTTTAAAATCTGGTGTTTAATCTAGACTACATTCTCTTCAGAATGTCTTGAAAACTACCTTGGCCTTATGAATCCATCATTGTTGGGGAAGGGAAGATATCCATTCTCAAGTCTCTAGATGATTGCACCACTGAGAGTTGAAACTTTGGGTGAAATGACCTTTACCAATGGCAATGATCTCTCCTTCTTCTGTTTGCAGGTCAACAGTGATCTTGTTTACATCGCAGTTCAAAAAGACGGCACTCATGTGGTAAAAGCTGTGGATTCCACCCACACTGGGAAGTTAATTGTGACCAAAGAAGTTGGAAGAGATGGCATGCAAGATATTACTGATACCTATAAATTCCAAGAAGGTAATTTCGTACAACTGAAGGCTGATTTCTTTGCGCCCCAGCTCTTTTATCCATTCCACTTAGTACATGTTCACTGTCACTACAGAGAATGGGATTTGCAGCATTTGCTAGTAAGGGCAGAAGTATAAACTCTCATGAGTGAGAAATACATCAAGGCCCACAGTTTTCACTCTATTTTTGCTTGCTTGTTTTGAGCAGATTTCCAATCTAGTGGCTTGGGAAATGATTTAGTTGGAAGTTATGTCTATTTTAACAGGATGTAGAATATACTCTTACACACAAGAAATGTGAAAATACTGTAATTTTAAATAACCCTGTTGGAAAACACTGGATAACTAATATTAATTTAGTTCAGTAATAGACATTTCAATGACTACTAATATTGCTTAGGACTTTACAAACTATTTTATGTTACTCCATTGAATTCTCATAGAAACCCCATGGGGTAGATAATGCAATATTTATAGTACAGTAGAAGAATGTCCTGGTGGTTCACTTTCAAAAATCAGCCAATGAAAATTCCTGGAACAACAGTAGAACATTGTCCAATCCACACGTGAGCCTGCAGGAAGAGTCAACATTTCGTTCTGCTTTGTATGTGTGGTGTTAACATGCATCAGGGCCAACATTACGTCAGCTAACAGAAACAACAATAGTACAGTCTCACTAATTTGGCTGAAGGCCGATTTTAATAATAAAATCATGTTAAGGTCGTTTTGTTAACTTTTCATCGTATAGAATGTTTCCCACAGAACTATTGAGTCCAATTCTGTTTCAATTAATAGAGTGTCTGTATTGAGTTGTGCCTGGAATAATGTATGGACCTAGAGATTGCAGCAGTGAGCAGGATCCAGCTCCTGTGTGGGCCAAGTGATAGAATCATTGTACAGAGGGACTTTAGAAACAGAGAAGGATTCAGCCCAGCTGTGGGCTGCAGAAAAAGTCAAGCTCAGAGAGGAGTCATGGTCTGCAGTTACAGAAAAATGGGCTGGCCTTTCCAGGTAGGAGGAGCATAGCAGAGGCACAGAAGTGAAACAGCACAGTGGGTAGGGTTCACAGGCATGGCTCAAGCACTAAGTTCAGAGGTGCCCTGTGGTCTCAGACAAAATTGCTCATGGTCAGTGATGGTGGAGGGCTTTGTATATCCTGATGGAGAGACAGTGTAACATACTTTTCAAATAATTCATCTCATAGGTTCTTAGGAGAGACATTGATTTTAGTAAATGGATAAAAATGATTAGTAATTAGCATACACCTAAATATTCATCAGCATTCCTGAAGTGCTACTGAGAGCAGAATTTGTTTTAAATATTTCAGACAGTCATGGAGCTCTTATTTACAAAAGTAATTTGCACCATAAAGAATTTAGAACTCTTTTGCATAGTATTAGAAAGTCAGATTTTTTGTCATCTGAACTAGTAAATCTTGACTGCATTTCTGAAGTTGTTTATCCTTCCCTTCTGTTGGCTATCATCCATTGCACATCACAGATACAAAGGGAGCTGGTTTTTTCTTTTATTTTGGGGTTTTTCCTAAAAGAAAAATTAAAAACAATACAAGCAAAGTAAAACAAAGAATGCCCTCTCAGAACAGAGTTACAGTAAAAAATAGCTGGAATGAAGGAATAAAATAACTCCATAGAAAAAAAATGAAAGAAACTAGCTGCAGCATTCATTCATTAATTCATTCATTCAAAATTTGCTCCTACTATGTTCCAAGAAGTTTTCTGGGTGGTACAAAGAGTGAGCCCTAGCTACTAACCTAAAGATTGGCAGTTTGAACCCATTCAAACTACCAAAGGCCTGGAGATCTGATTCCAAAATGTCTCAGGCAAGAACACCCTCTGGATCTCAGCTCTCCTCTGTAACACAAGAGGTCACCATGAGCCAGAATTGACTCAACAGCAATGGGTCTGGTTCCTCTTTTTTTGCTCTTAAATTCCAAAAGGAGTCCCTCGATGGTACAAACAATTAAGTGCTGGCGTCCTGATGTGGTGCTGTAGGAGAAGTACTGAACCACAAGGTCAGTTTGAACTTCAAGGTTGGCAGTTTAAACTCACCAGCCACTTCTCAGAAACACTGTCAGGGAGTCACAATCAACAACAACAATAATGCTATCAACAACAACAACTCTGTAGAATAAGCCCTGGACTGCTAACCTCAAGGTTGGTGGTTCAAACCCAAACTCCTCGGAAATTCTATACAGGGTTGCTATGAGTCAAATCTGACTTAATGACACTTAACAACAACTACGAACTGAAAAGTTGACAGCTCAAACCCACCCAGAGGCACTTTGGAAGAAAGGCCTGGAGACCTGCTTCCTCAAAGTCTCAAGCTTGAAAACCCCTATGGAGCTCAGTGTTCCTCTGAAAGGCATGAGGTCATCATGAGTCAGAATCAACTTAATGGCAATTGGTTTAGTTACAGTCCTTGAGGAGGAGTGTGTGGGTTGTGAATATGGTTAACACACTCAGCTGCTAACCCAAAAGTGGGAGGTTCGAGTCACTCAGAGGTACCTTGGAAGAAAGATGATCTACTTTCAATCTACTACCCAAAACCCAGTCATTAAAAACCCTAAGGGGCACAGTTTTACTTTGACATGCTTGGGGTTAACTCATTGGCAACTGACAACTAGTATATTCCAAGCTCCGCCTAGGGATGAAAGATGTTCCTAGTCCCTGCCTGCCCATCTAATTGGTGGGACAGCAGCTTGCTTTGTGACAGATGCGATGGCAGGGGTGTACAGACAGTTTGGGAGAACAGGGGCACTTATCCCAAATATGAACCAGGGAAGGCTGCCTGGAGGAAGTTAATGATGAGCTCACTGACACCAGAGTGAAAATAAGGATTAGCCAGTTGAAGCATGGGGAAGAGTTCTCCAAGGAAGCACAGAAAGGCAGAATTGCAGTTACGACTTCTTCTAAGTGGAAGAAGTACTAAGTAGACAGTGTAGTAAATAAAAGGTGAGCTTCCAAGGTGCTAGGAGAGGCAGCAGGTGAGCTGACGAAGCTGTCAAATGTAAACCATGTAGTAGAGCACAGTTTCCAGGAACTGTCAGCTGAGGAGGTGGCCAAAACCCCACCACTGTTAAATGCATTCCTACTCATAGACCCTGTAGGGTTCTCAAGATGTAAATCTTTGCAGAAGCAGATTACCTCATCTTTCTCCCACAGAGTAGCTGGTGGGCTTGAACTGCCAATCATTTTGTTAGTAGCCCGATGCTTAATCCACAGCACCACCAGAAGGTGGCAGTGAAGGCCAAATTAGGAATGGGACAGGATCCAATACCAACTTCATGAAAGAGAAGTCAGACATGGCCATGGATGGGCAACAGATTAAAAGATACAAAATATGCCAACACTGAATGAGGAAGAAGTGTGAGGCCCATGCCTCCAGAGTTTGACAAGTCAACAAGGCTGAGGATGAAGGACAAAGCAGTGGTCCAGCCAACCACCAGTGAGACCAGTTGTGGTCAAGTATAATCCAATTCATAACTGCCCCGTGTGTGTCACTGAGCTCCACAGGGTTTTCAGTGGCAATGGTCTTTCAGAAGCATGCCACCAGACCTTTCTTCTGAGGTCCCTCTGAGTGGACTGGAATGACCAAGCTTTGAGTTAGCAGTCAAGCATGTTAACCATTTGTCCCACAAAGACACTCTTGGCTCAAGAGGCAACTGGTAATTCTCGGATAATTGTACAAGTCGGTACACTCTGCTTCTGCAACTGGGGTTTGATTGCTAGTGCATCCTTCATCTCCTAACCAGGATGATATGTACATTTCACATTCTCACCTTGGTAATGATTAGGTGAGGCACTACTTTGAGAAAGATGCCATGGCTGCAACCGAATATGGTTGTTGTGGTTGCTAAATGCCATAAAGTCAGTTCCAACTCAGAGCGACCCTATATAGCGTTTCCAAGGTGCAGCTGGTGGGTTTGAACTGCTGACCTTGTGGTTTGCAGTCCTGTGCTTATTTATGTTTGCATTTGGCACATAGGAAAGAGTAAATACCATTTAATGACTGTAGAATTGTCGCCCTGATTTTCACTACTAAATCTCCCACTTGCTTTCTCTAATCCACAAATGCTATGTGGCCATTGGAATAAAGAGTGAAAACACAGAAAAGAAATTATCCCCAGATTTAAAGATGAACTATTTCCATTAAATTGTGAGAAGATCACTTTTCACTTCAGTTCTGGTGTGGTACCATAGAATAAGCACTGGATCTCAAGGTTAGTTTGAACCAGCTGGTCCTCAGAAACCCTATACAGGGTCACTAAGAGTCAGAGCCAACTCGACAAATAAAGCTTAATTAATTTAGAACTTATTTTTCAAAACCACAAAGTTTTGAAAATCAGAATTCTTAAAATGTTTCCTGTGACAAAGCATATTCTTGTCTTGAACCAATTCCCTTTTTTCTATCAATTATTCCATGTCTCTCCTTCTCTGCAGTTTCCTTCCTAGTAGCATTCAAGCATACTAATAAATATATATGTTTTTGTTGTTGTTGTTGTTGTGTGCAGTCGAGTCAGTTCTGACTCATATTAACCCTGTTGTATAGGGTTTCCAAGGCTGTAAGTCATCATAGAAGCAGAAAACCTCATCTTTCTCCCTTTGACCAGCTGGTGGGCTCAAACAGACAACCTTGTGGTTCTCAACCCAGTTCTTATCCTACATACCACCAGCACTCCAGCATACACGCACTCAGGCACATACACATACATATGTGTGCCACATCCAAGACCCTGTTTCAAGACTCACATCTGGCTCTGAGTGCCATGTTGAGGTCAACAGCTTAATCAAATAAGTTGTGACTATCTTTGCCCCATGTATTAGCAATTTTCCTTTCTACTTGTTGCTAAGTGCCGTCAAGTCGGTTCCGACCCATAGCGACCCTGTACAGGGTTTCCGAGGCTGTAAATCTTTACAGGAGCAGAACGCCTCATCTTTCTCCCGCGGAGCAGCTGGTAGTTTTGAACTGCTGGCCTTAAGGTTCGCAGCCCAATTCGTAACCACTACGCTACCAGAGCTCCTTTCTACTAGGGGTACGGTTTGTGGGCTTCTGCATCTGCCAGGCTCTGTGGTATTGAGAGGGTATAGCAACTCCTGTTTTTCACTAAAAAATAAGTGTTTTGCTAAGTTTTGTTTCCTGCCCCACCTGTGCCTTGCAAGATCTGTGCTTTTGCAAGAGAATTGTCTGTCCAGTCTTTGTTCTTTCTCCCTCCTGGTTGTACCTTTCTCTAACAACTTGACAGCAGTTAATAACAACAGCACAAAGACAAATGACTTCTCTCTTTCTGAAAGCAAAATGCTTCTCCTGCCACTGGCACCCAGCCTGTCTCTTTCCATGGGTCTAGAGTCCTCAGCTGCTCTATGTCTCTGTGCCATCACCTCTGCTTCCATCTCTGGTGTTGCTGCTTCTCTAGTTAGGATCCCATGTTCCACTCATGATCTTACCTCTTGGTGTCCTAGGGTTCTCTGTTCCTGGAATGAGAGATTAACTACTCCTCTGTTTTTGTTTAACATCTTCTACCTTTACAGTTATGATAATCACAATTTGTCATGATAGCAATAACACACAATTGAATCGTAAAATCCTATCACCATCCTTCACCATCCCTTTTCACCAGACCCATCTGGATAAGAGGAAAACTATTCAGTGGGATTCTGCCTGACCCCATGGTTTTGAAACTAAACACATCCTTGAAAACTTGTAAGCCAGTCACTTCATGCCTTTATAGCCCCCTCAATTTTGGTAGCCAATGTCTAAGTTGCCCATCCCTATCAACCCTGTGTACTGAAGAGATAGGCTTGATCCTTGATGTGAAGCCTCCTTCCCTTCTCAGTTGGAATTTTGAGCAACAACATCCATAAGCAAAGGTAGAGTTCATCAAGTGTTACAATTTACACTTGCTTCCTGTATCAAACTTCTTTGTCTTCCTCTGGTAGAGTTCTGGTCAGCAAGCTATCCAAGCTAGGTCAAATAGGTACTATCTGCAAGTTTGAGTACTCTCACACTCCTCTCCAACTTCAGACCAACTGGCCCTTTGATTCTCAATTCTAGCCCCCAGTGACTAGGTCAGTGTCCATAGGCTCAGGATTTCAAAAGTCTCCCTAAACTTTTCATCTCAAGGTCAATGGGCAAACATATTCATATTTGTTTGCACCTCCTGCTAGGAGGAAACACAGGAGGAAACTGCTAGAAGTCAAATAAGGGATTTTACATTGTCTCCACCTTTTCATTGTCTCTAAGTGTTTGCATCTATTATGTACTCTGCACAAACCCTCTCCAATCACCAAACCATATTGAAAGTTGTTGTTGTGAAGTTCCATCAAATCAGTTCTGACTCATAGTGACCCTATCTAAGGTTTCTGAGAAGTGATTGGTGGGTATGAACCACAAGATTAGTGGTTTCAACTGACCTTGCAGTCCAGTGCTGATCCCACAGAGCCTCAATAGGACTCCATAATGGAGGTTGTTGTTTTTATTAAATGACATTGAAAGGGTTCCAACTCATAGAACCCCTGTATAAGGTTTCTGAGGAGCAGCTGGTGGGTTTGAACAGACAACCCTGTGATTCACAGTACATTGCTGACCCTACAGCGTCACACCAAAAGTCCAATATTGGAGGCAGTCTCCCCCATTTCACAAAGGAGGAAGCTAATGACAATAGCAGTGTCTACTTACTGTGTACATTTGTTGTGAGGAATATGTGACCTAATTAATTTACAGTAAGCACTTCTCACACAGTTCTTCTCAAAGATAGTTGCTACAATTAATTGGCCTCTTAATATCTATTGATTTAATTATTATCATTATTTATTTAATTATTTATTATTAAATTGATATTGCAGGAGGTAAAATGAGTTCCAAAATCTGTATTTGTTGTTGTTGTTGTTTAGTGCCATTGAATCAGTTCTGACTCACAGCAACCCTATATAGGGTTTCCAAGGAGTAGCTGGTAGGTTTGAATTGCCAGCCTTGCAGTTAGCAGTTTAGTGCTTATCCTACAGCACCAGAGATATCAAAATTCTAGCCCTGTGGCTAGGATTAGGGGAGTGAAATGCATTGGTCCCACAGTTTGAGAAGAGTTGAATTTTGCCAATTTTGCCTGTTGAAACTTAAAACTGTAACTGGAGATACAACCCATAGAAGCTCTCCAGGTAGACCTCAATGCCTCCACTTAATAATTCAGTGACCTGGGTGGGTCATTGACTCTTAGAACCTGATTTTATACCATTTATAGTCTTGGTGGTACTGTGGGTTAGACTGGTTACCACAAGATTGGCAGTTCAAACCCACCAGCCACTCCTAGGGAGAAAGATGAGGCTGTCTACTCCCATAAAAATTTACAGTCTTAGAAACCCTGTTTAGGGTCACCATGAGTCAGAGTCAACTCAATAGCAGAGGTCATTTTGGTTTGGTTGTAGAATGGATTTGGTTTGGCTATAGAATGGGAATGGTGACAAAACCTGCTCACAGGGAAATTGTGGCCAGAAGAGGCTCATCTCAGAGCCTAACACACAGTGTGAGATTATTAATGTTATTTTCTCTTTGATGTGTTGCATCTTCTCTTTCCCTGTCACTCTCTGGATTCTTCATAGGTCAAGAAGAAGAGAGACTAGCCCTGGAAACTGCCCTGATGTATGGAGCTAAAAAGCCCCTCAACACAGAAGATGTCCTCAAATTACGGTCTGATGTTGACATGGATTTTGAAGTGGAAAATGCTGTGCTGGGCAAAGACTTCAAAGTTACCATCACTTTCCAGAACAACAGCTCCAATCGTTACACCATCTCAGCTTATCTCTCAGGCAACATCACCTTCTACACTGGAGTTTCCAAGGCTGAATTTAAGAAGGAAACATTTGATGTGACCCTGGAGCCCTTATCCTGTAAGCCAAAGGGGTGTGGTTCTCTCTAGAACTTGTAGCTCCATGTCTAGCTTGGTGATGACCTACCCACAACCCAATAGCAGTCTGTCAAAGTCAAAGTTCTTTCCCAGAGCTCACTCACATGAACTTCCTTATGGTGAGATCCCACCCACTCTAGAAAGCCTCAACTCTTACCTTATGTCCAGTGTACAGAGGTGGATGCTGACATTCTCAAACCTAGAGCATCAGGCAACTCATAAAAACTAAATGTACCTTAAATCCTTGCTGCAGTCCTGGGGTAGAACTGTAATTCTACTGGACTGCTAACTGCAAGGTCAGTGGTTCAAATGCTATACAGGATCATTTTGAGCCAGAAGAAACTCAGAGCACTTAACAATAACGCATTTTTGCTACTCAGAGTATGACTTAAGGAGCTGAAACATCAGGCTCCCCTGGGAGGTTTTCCCTCAGGCCTTCTGAGTGGGAATCTGCATTTGAACAAACTCTCAGGGCCTTAAGGAGGGAGCACAGGAAAGTTGAGGGAGTTCTAGTCAGAAAGAGCCATCTCAGGAAAGCCTCCTGGGGGTTCTTCTCATTCAAGTTAGAAAAGGCTACCCAGCAGGAATTGTGTACTTTAATTTACCATTTACAGGACAGAGTGAATTAATTTTCTAGATGTGGCACTGTGGGATAAAGCACTGGACCACAAGGTCAGTTTTTAACCACAAGGTGGGTGATTCACATTCACCAGTCGCTCCTCAGAAACCCTATACAGGGTCACTATGAGTCAGAACAGATTCAACAGCACTTACCAACAATAACAAAGAAAACCTCTCTAATAAGGTGACCTTTAACAGAGACCTAACAGAGGGCAAGCGTCTAGAGAGAGAACACCCCGACCAGGGGAAACCATAGATGCAAAGACCCTGAGGCAAGACTATGTCTGATGTGCTCAATGATCAGCAAGGGGACCTGGAATAGAGGTGGCAAGGGAGACAGTGAAGGAAGAGAGGGTGCAAATTGTGTCAAGAATTGTAGGCTCTTGTAAGGACTTTGACTTTATTTCTGATTTCTGAGCCAAGTGGGAAGTCATTGGAGGGTTTTGAGCCATAGTGTGGCTTCATATAACTTAAGGTTTGGAAAGTCACTCTGGCTACTATATTAAGAATAGATTCCAGGGGAAGCATAGCTTTACGCTTGAGGACCAGGTAGGATGATGCTGTAATAGTGGCTCAGGTAAGAGATGGTGGTGCTAGAGTTGGAGTTGGTGAGACGTCATCAGGGCTGGGTATGTTCTGGGGGTAGAGCACTGAATTGGCTGAGGGATTAAATGTGTGATGTGACAGAAGGAGAGTGTGGCGATAATTAAAGGTGATAAGTAAGGAGTCCTGGTGTGGCACTATCGGATAAGCATTGAACTGCAAGGTCGGCAGTTCAAATTCACCAGTCACTCCTCAGAAACCCTACACAAGGCCTCTATGAGTCGGAATCAACTCGATGGCACTTAACAACAAACAACAATATATGTAAAATCATTAAAACATGGTTGTTGGTAAGTGCCATCAAGTCAGTCCCAACTCACAGTGACCCTGTATAAGGTCTCTCAAGAATGGCTGGTGGGTTTGAACTGCCGACCTTGATGTTCAAGCCAACCTTAGGGTCCAGGACTTCTAATACATTGTAAGCTTCCAGTACAAATTTTCATTGGGTACGTCTACATTTGGAGTCCTGGTGTGGCACTGCAGGATAATGTACTGGACTGCAAGGTCATTTGAACGGCAAAGTCAGTGGTTCAAATCCATCAACCACCCTTCAGAAACCCTAGACATGTTCTCTATGGGTTGGAACCTACTAGACGACACTTAACAACAACATTTGGGGAAATAGAATAGAAAGGTGAATTGGCCATACAGTACAAGTAGAAGCAAACTGGGTAGTAGTAATATTTAACTGTCATCAAGGTGGTTCTGACTCATAGCGACCCTGCATAGGGTTTCTAGGGAGTAGCTGATGGGTTTGAACTGCCGACCTCGTGGTTCTCTGTCCAGTACTCATCCACAGAGCTACACGAGAAGTCCTTTCATTGGGAATGAAAGATAACCCCAAATATAATTATGATAATTAAGGGGCACACACACACACCTCTCATCTTGAAAATAAGGTAGAAGTTTTAAGTAGCCAGGACTAATGGAAAAACAAACTGGTGAACAATACCTGCTCAACCAGATTGGTTTCAGCTATTTTATCTTGTCACAAACCTATCAGTGTGAATTCCAATAATCCAGGAATGCTTCAGCTGGAATTTTTGACCATCTTTACCATGGCCACAAAAGTCTTCACAGTAAAGTTTTTAGTCTACTCTTAAAATAGTGAGATTTCCAGGTAGGAGTTATCAAAGGAGACTTGTATGTTACATCCTATGATATGATGTCATTTCCATCTTTAGAAGCTTCTAACCTGAGGGGAGAGACTGGGTAATATGTGTGAAACCCATGTCCAGTCAGGCTGTGACAATGAGCCAGTTCTGTGTAAATATGGGACTTGAACGGGCCAGCTCCCTTCCTCATGCCCCCATACCTGCAGCCCTGTACAGGTTCTGTCCTAACTCCCTTAGGCAGGGAAATGTGAGCCAGCCTTGCCCTACCTCTCAAGGGTCCCATTACTCAATCCCCTGGCCCTTCTTTCCTTTTTCCAGTAGAGCAGTGAGTGTATAGAAGTGAGTGGGACAGATTGTTGTTATTATCTACTCTGAAGTCAGTCCAAGCAGTGTAAAATAATGCTGCCTGGTTCTACATCATCCCCATGAACTGTTGCAAATTGGACCACTGGGATCTACAACATTTTCATTGGCTGATTTTCAGAAGTAGATCACCAGACCTTTCTTCTTAGTCCATTGTAGACTGAAAGCTTGCAATCCACAAGCCTCCAATTACAGAGAAGTGGTGGCTGCTCATGAGGTACATTGGCTGGGATCTCCTGTGTGGAAAATCAGAACCAGCATTGCCTTAGTGGGACAGAAGAGCATCGTTTACCAGCCCTCTCATCATTTGTCAAGGACAGTTGGGCAAACCTAAGCATGACGCAGTAGTAACACAGTTCCCACCCACTAGACCCACCCCAAGAGCTTGTCTTGAGTAATTCCAAGGGACCTGGAGACTGTTTTTGCTGTATCCTGCAGGTAACAGCATTAATTGTATGTAATAAACACTGTCTATATTGCAGCATTGTGGGCTAATGCATCAGGCTACAAAGTCGTTTGAACTGCAAGGTTGGTGGGTCAAGCTCATCAGCTGCTCCTTGGAAAGCCTATACAGGGTCACTATGGGTTGGAATCAACTCAGCAGCTCTTCACAACAACAACAAATATTGCAGAAAGAAGCATAATTCTAGATCTTGATTAAGCAGGTCAAAGATAGAGACTTTTAGGTGGCTCCATTGAAAAGAAAGTTTTCCAAGTAGAATCGAAGGCTTACTTCCCAGACTGATGATTAAAGGGGAATGTGTGGGCTGGAGTCAGCTGGAAAATTTGAATAACTTAAACCTTCCTGTACCTTCAAAGGTGCTATCATTTCCACTTGGATATATTTAGTTTTCTTTGCTTTTTGGAAAAGAGATGAGGCAGCTCCTGTCTGTGTCTCCCTTGGCTTTCCCCAGACGCCGTAAATGATATTGGCAGCATCCCAGCTCCACCACTCACATAGTGAAAATCTATTCTTCTTCCTCTTGCCACGTTTAATAAACTTTATCGAGAATGATTTCTTGTTCGGTGGCAAAACACAGCACTTACATAACATACTATTTCAGGAGCACTGTTCTCTTGGGTTCTGAAGCACAGCCCAGTTTCTTTAGTTCTAGAATCTTGGGGAGTTTCTATCTCATAGAATACAGACGTCCTGTTGCTGAAATTATAAAGTAGCAAGAGCCTCTGTAAAGATTGGAAGGAGAAGCCAGAGATAACCCACCAGCCTAAAGGAATGTAGTGGTCAAACACATCCCTCTAGAAATAGTCAGAGGAAGTCCATTTGTTAAATATATATAAAGGAGCTCTGATAGCGTAGTGGTTACAAATCAGGCTGCTAACCTCAAGGTCGGCAGGCAGTTCAAAACTATCAGCTGTTCAGCGGGCGAAAGATGAGGCTTTCTGCTCCCGTAAAGATTT